ATAACATAAAGTTTGCGAAATACGTCGAAATATGGAGGAAAGACTCTTGCCACTTTATTCCTCGGGTTTCGTTGTCAAGAACACAACGTTGTTCCAGGAAGATGGGGCATTGTGTCACACTGCTAGAAACACCCAAAAGTGGCAGGAAGAAAATGGTATCCAGAAGTTGCCCTGCCCGAGTCAATCTCCTGACATGCACCCCATCGAAAACCTTTGGGCCATACTCGATCGGCAAGTCAATAAACAACAAAAAACCAACTTTGAAGAGCGATTTACTCCAAGTTTTGCAGCAAGAGTGAGCGAACATCCCACAATCTAAAATTGACGAGATGATTCTCACGATGCCCCAAAGGATCAACGAACTCCACGAAGCGAAAGGAAGATCTACTAGATATTAATTAAATTATAAATATATCAATTCATGTGAATATGACTGAAAACTTTCATTTTTTCTGAAAAGATGGTGTCTATTTAGTTGTGACCACGCTGTGTATATACATGTATACATATATATAGTGAGTAACACATAGAATTAATTTCATGTTTAATTGTGAAAATCAGTAATCCAAAAAACAACTGACCAACGTGTGTTTCCCAAATAAACTGGTTTGTTTAGTTTGACAGTAAAAATTTATTTCCTTGTATGCAATATTAAGCAACTATCTTAAGAAATACCGAATTATCTGACACTATCAGTCGTGATTTCTGTTTCATATACAAAACAAATGGATAGCATTATAATGATAATCTGTTTACTTAGCGAGGGATTCCTTTCTTATTTAACCTTTAAACCCTCCTTTCTTTAGAACATTGAAATATAATGTTGAGCAGCAATATGTCGTACAGCTAGATAGATAGGTATGTATTTTAGTCTAATTAACGGAAGTTACATGAAAAAATTTCCAAGATTTGCTGCTTTGTCTTCACACTGAAAATAATGGATTAATATCAACAAAACGTATATAAAAACAGAAGATAGTGTCCTAGTACAAAAAATAATAGAATGTAATAACAATAATATAAACTGTTACAAATAAATGGATAGGTAATTATGGTAACTGTTCAAAAAGCATAAATCTTGACAAAGATGGTAGGTTTAAAAAAACACTAAATTTAGCTAGTTTAAATTTTAAAATGTCATTAAAAATCTAGATTTCTGGAATAAAAATGTTATTTTTTTAATATATTGTTAGCATTTAAGCTGGAAATGAGTCAGAAATAGAAAAGGATAAGTGACTAGTTATATTAAACAAGTACTACCAATGATTTGTATAACTTTAACAAAATTTAAATGATGAAGAAGTGTAAGTGGGAATCCAAGAAAAAATCACATTTTAAGTGCTGTGCCTAGTTCATGACATAGCAATTATTAAAATTCACTGCTTTTCTTCTCAAACTTTTCAATTTTACTGTGAACTTATTTCATTCGAGTTTAAAATACTTTAAGTTTTATTGTATAAAACTTGAACATTAAGAAAATATTTATAAACATGTATTTTGTTAATAAACAACAATACCAGAATATATTTTGTTTTGAAATTTTATTCTTTCAGAAACATACCTATTTTGGGCTCTCAAACGATGGTAAACGTATTTATTTATAAAACGTTAAAATCTGCTAGTTTATAATTTGTTTTCTACAGCCATAGTAATATATATTTTTATTATAACTAAACATTTTTCTAAATTTATATCTCTGTCGTCATATCAAGATGTTTCACCGTATATATTTTCGTATGAATATGAAAATTATATTGAAAATGATTGTTAATGAAATACATTATTTAGTCTTCAAAAATCATGATTTATGGATATGATTTTTTTAGTAAACTTTACTACTATATCCACAGCAAAATACCTAAATGTTTTTATATCTAACCTTTAGTCAAGTAAAAAGCAAATCGTTAAGTTTTTGTAAGTGGCAAATTTGTAAAATTTGGGGTGCTCTGTTGATAGTTACAATTAAAGTATACTTATTTCAGGATATTAAACGTTGAAAATTTGTTTTAAAACTTCCAATAAACATTTTATAAGATAATACAATAAAAATAAAGATACAAGTTTCTCATTAAAATAATTTTTTGTTAAATTAAAAGAGTTGATTTATCTTAGATATACATATGCACTATTTGTAAACGAAGTAACACTTCGGATGATAAAAATGCAATACAGTTGATTATACTTCAGACAGACAATATGTGATTGAACAGAATTTTGTAATACATTTGACATTAAAAAATATATTTCCAAAATTATATTTTTAAAACAGATACAAATGTAAAATGTACTCGTGGTGTATTTCTATACAGACTTCAAACTATTGACAATATAGATATAGATTCTTTGATTTTGTCGGTAGTCACAACGATGAAGTTAAAGTAAGTATACTCCAATTAGCTCGCTAAAGCTAGCACGTAGTTCGTTTTTTTTTGGAATACCAAACTTTTTATTTCTCAGCCTTGGAATACCAAGCTGTTCTATTTTTTAGGTTTGGAATACTAAGCTTCATTTATTTTCAGCTTTGGAATATGTACTTCACTGTTTTTGCATATATGGATTTTTTTTATTTTTGAATTAATTGTTTCAGTTAATGTTTCTATCAGTTTTTAAAAAAAATTAAAACAAACCAGATTTTTTTATTACTCGAATAAAACATTTAGTTCTAGCTTCAGCCAGCCACAACATGTTCTATTATAAAAGTTACTTAATCATTCATTACGAAATAATAAATAACATTGGGGTGTAAAATACTGAAGCAAAATATATATTGTAAGTGACTATGTTTTTAAATAAAACTTGCCAAGTATTTAAATCGATAGCAATATCTCAATCCACAGGCTTAACTAATCAATGGAATATTAACATATATAAAATAAGTATCAACAAAACGTGATTTTAAAAGTTAGACTCAAAGAGAAGAATTATTGTTAAACTATTCTTTTTAAATTTATCAAACATGAGATAGATTTCATGATTTTAATGTTTTAACAAGACATTTTTTGGCTTACTTAAAATGGCAATATTTTTGTAAATACAATGTGATTATTTGAATGCAGAACATATTTAAAATACGCAGTAAGTAACTGATACGATTTTCACTAAAAAGAAACGACTTTGTTTCATTGTAATATATGAGACGTATTTTTCAAAGAAATGAGCTCATGATTCAGTATTCAAACAACAGTCTTACATATACCTTGCATCATGAAATGTGATAAATGAAAAATCTACACTCAAACATTTTAAGAAGTATTCCGATTAACACACTGTTTATATGCAAAGGCTACGAAGTAAATTATATAACGAGATTTAAAACATTGATATCAGAGCATACCAGTCTTCATTTCTAATCTGGCTCATTATTTTCACTTTCTCTGTCTCACATCCTTGCTCTTGACGTTGTCTGGCACAGTTTTGCTATATTTTAGAGGGAAAATATATAATATATTGATTAAAAGTATTTACTTGATAATAATAAGTGTACTGATTTCTCCAAAACTGTAAAATTTGTGGGTTTTGAGAAAAGTAATAATAACTTTTGACGGTATTTCTCCATCACTGCAGTAAAATGACGAAATTAAGAAAATATTTCTATAATTATATGTTAACGTTCAAGACTGAAGATGTACTATAATCTTAGAACAAAAGGCATACATGAAAAGCAATAAATAACACCTTTCACTGGTAGCAATGATACGTTTGTACCTGGATATTAAATTTTACGTTTTTGGGTTGATTAGGCAAATGATAAAGTTATCAAGTGTTAATATATTCAGAGAAACAGAGCTTATAATACACGTACGCGAAAAGAAGAAATCAGAAAATATTGTAGGATTAAAAAAATGTTTAAACAGTATTTTACAGAAGATAATTTTATTATGACGTTTGATCCAACACACTTTGTCATGGCGTCAAGTAACTGATCCCAATAGTCAGAGTGATTATGGTTGACATAACTTCTTGACGAGCTTCCGTTATCGATAAAAAGATGACTAATAATTTAAATAGTGCGTAATAACAATATCAATCCAATAATGGTAACAAAACTCTCACAAAATAAGGCAAATCACGTTGTGAAGATAATGAAACAGGAAGATAAATGAGTATTTAAAAATGGTGGAAACATTTCAGAAAATATAATATCAAAATAAATTCAAGTATATATAAACAGTTATAATTTATACATTATGCTCATCAAAAGGCAAAAACACTGTCACAAAATGAACTCAATATAGATGTTTTTGTGTTTCACATGTAAATAGTTGTAAGTTCACCGTTTGGATTAAGTAAACAAATTAAGTTAGAAAATAGATCAACTTGGATGGTCATTACCATTAACACTGGTGTTGATTTGGTAGTAGTAGTGTCGTGGGTACCAAAAATGCCTTGAAACGGGTTTGTCAAGGTTAGTTTCTTTAATGGCTATGATGTGTTTCCAAGTTATTTCAGTTAAAATGCCTTGAAACGGGTTTGTCAAGGTTAGTTTCTTTAATGGCTATGATGTGTTTCCAAGTTATTTCAGTTAAAATGCGAATTCTACCTGTTTCTTCTATGATAGAGTTGATATAGATCATATGATAAATTACTGCCCTTAAAACACAGGGAAAGTTACAATTTCTGTCGTAAATCATATGTGGAGTACATACTAAAGTGTATTTGATACTTAGGGGTAGTAGCAGTTAGGGGGTAATCCTGCATCAAAAGGATGCCACCGCCTGGGGTTACACAACTTTTACTTAGACAAAGGATGCGCCTGAGAGTTACATAACTGTTACGTAATCTCTAAATTATGCTGGTTTCCAAGAGTTACATAATAGGCAGCAGATGGCGCTATTGTCTTAGAGTCATAAGTCTACGATGCGGCACCAGATGGCACGTTAGTATGATGAGCGCGCATATTGTTAACAAGCGAACCACCAAAGGTGATGAAGACCAAAGTGTCTCAATTTTAGTGTAAAAATCAAAGTATTAAAACTAATAATTTAATTAATTTCAATAACTTAGTCTTTACAATTGTCAGTACTGAAAAGTTTTATCACAACTATACTTTTCCTTTACTGGCGAAAACATGGTCGTGAATAAATGATGTATTTGTGAAACATACAATTTTCTTGTTTTTCCGCAATTCTGTAAAGTTATTTACCTTTTAAATAGTGTGAATATAGTTTTGTCAATTATTTGAGTAGTAATGATCCTTGAGATAGCAAAATATTGAGCTCAACTCGTGTGATGTTAGAAAGACACGAGGTGCTCCGTGTTTCAATTAAGTTGAAATTGTCACAATTCAGAATATGTATAAAAACGGACAAGGTTTAATGGAAAGAAATTGTTTTAAGACTAGAACAACTTTGTTGCAGATTGAGGACAACTTTACTGCTCAGTGATACATTGACAAAGTCCTTCAGCCAACAGTTGTTCGTTCCTGAAAGCTAATTCTGATTTGTCAATATTCCAGCAGGACATTGCAAGACCACACAGTGCTAGAATTACAATGGCACGACTTCAAGAAAACAATGTCGACTTCTTGTCATTGCCAGGTTTTTCCCCTGAGCTGAGTCCAGTAAAACATCTGTGAGACCAACTCTCCATTGCCGTCAAGAGGAGACAACCACCACCAGCCAACCTTCGGCAGTTGGCTAAAGCTTTAAGGAACATTCCACAGCAGTCATTCCAAATGCTGATCAGGTCTATGCGTCAATGCTACCAGGATTGTATTGAAACTCAGGGAGGTCACACCTGGTACTAACTTTTTAATGTTATAATTTTTACATTATGTCACGTTTCGTACTGAAAACATATCATGGTTCTTTGTCTTGCAGTTTTGTTCACATTTTCTGTGATTTTGTTTGATAATTACGTTTCATATATTTGATTAAATCGATTAGACCCGAGTGTTGCGTTTCTTTTGTGCATCAGTATAGTTGGATCTTCACTCTCCTGTCCATTCGAAAAACGCCAAAATAAGATGCAAGACAACAGTGCAGTTTAGTTATAGTCATATACTTAATTAGACAGGTTATGAGAACACTGATATAGTTGCTGTTTAATTTATTATTATACTCGAAAATGCCACATTTGTTCAGAAAACGGTATTATAACAGATTTTGACTCATCTACAACCTACAACAAGTGTTAAAAGTGCTACAAAGATATTATCATAGTTGATATTAACTTACCTATCTCTTCAGAAGAACACATTTACATGCTAAAGCAACATCAGTATATCTTGTATTGATTCACTCATCTACTACTATTTTACAACTCTAAAAACAGTTTAATAGGTTAAATAACCCATGTACTCAAAAAAATGCAAAGAAAGCCACAAAAATGTTTTAATAAGTGATGCTGTCTTGTGATTCACAAGGGATAGATCTATAAAAGCTAACAGGAAATCATCATAGCCTTCCTTGACTTATGTATCAACTAAAAAAGTAAACTTAAAAAGGTTATTGAAACATTGGTATCGTCAACTTCAACTTATTTACTGAAAAGAATAATTAATCAGTTAACAATGAAAGTGCATGGTATAGCTGATTTTAGGAAGTCATTAATAGAGATGATGTTGATGCACCTGCTTATTAAAAACAATTAACCAGACTACAATAGAAGTCATACACCCAGTAGTCACTAAACCTTAAATACATTTCAATTCTAAAAACACTGTATATTGTGCTAGAACGTTGCCAGTGAAAGCTGTTACCATAGATGGCAACAAATATTGATACTATGGACACTAAAGTTGGGGAACATTTGAACATTACTATGACACAATGAAGGAAGTTCAAGCTGATGATGTTAGTATCGTGTATGAGACCTACTGTGCTAGAAAAAGGAATGATTGCGAGTGTGCAAGCAAACTGTGGATGGTGCTACCCATATCGTTCCATTTAAAATCAGTTTGGCACATCTATCTTTGTGGCATAGACTCAACAGTATGGTTTGAGACATTGAGGACTAAACCTGTTTTACAAGTATTGGCAGAAGATTATTGTAACAAATATATGAACTCATTCTAAATATGCTAAAGTGACCTGATATCCAGTGGTTGTGCTTGTCAAAGGACATGGACGAAACTTATTTTCTCTTCCAACAAGTTTTGATCAATATGAGTGGAGTGGAAATACAGCAATGTGGGTTAAACATTGTTGGCAACAGTGTTAAGGTAAACTATGGAAGTTACTCATCCTTGGAAATACAGCAATGTGGGTTAAACATTGTTGGCAACAGAGTTAAGGTAAACTATGGAAGTTACTCATCCTTGGAAATACAGCAATGTGGGTTAAACATTGTTGGCAACAGTGTTAAGGTAAACTATGGAAGTTACTCATCCTTAAAGAAAAATCAGAAACAAAGTTTTTGAAATGTGAACATACTGGACACCCAAATATAACCTCTAGCAGTTTGCCTTGACAAAGCAACACTAGTACGATCAAATGTCTCATGTATTTTCTTTAATTTTTACTATACCACCAGCACAGGAAATGGTGAAACATGGTTATCATCATATAAACTCACAATGTTTAAACACCACTTAAACTGTGCTTTTATGTTAACATTTGAGATGAGGGATGTTGAAAGTGGTTGTTGGTTAGAGATTTTAAACAAAGCTGCATAAAAGTTACCCGTGCACAACTGTCCTTGAATTTGTACTGATAAACTAGAGGGAAGAAAGCTAGTCAATAGCACCCAGTGCTATCATGTTGGATTACTCCTATCTGTCAAATATTGGGATTTTACCGTTACACTCTTACAATACATTCATGGCTCCAAGGCGCGGAACAAGTTTCTACAGCAATAGGAAGCGAATCAAGAATCAACAGGTTCATGTTTCAGCGCGCTTACCTATAGACAACCCCCAGTCCTGGTCGATATCTGACCAATGTTGAATTAATTATTCCATTAGGACACAATCTGTCGTTTATATAGCGTGTTCAATCATGTTTTCCTTCAATATATCACCAGCAATTAGTGGCCACATTTTTTCCCTCCTGTAAACGTATTCCATCTAGATTTCCACTGTTGATAGATTGGTTGCATTCACTGGTCGATGATTTAAGCAATATGTTCATAATGAAACAAAGGCGAGAGTGGGCAGAAACTGCCTTTCATAAATAGCAGAATTTTAATGAAAGGGTTTCAATAAAGATAACTAGGGTTGTGACGTTTCAGAAATCTTCCATCTTCAGTTCGGAATAATAACTGGTTGAACTTTATACATAAGGCATTTCGTGAGGCTTGGTTCGTGGTAATGGAATCTCACTGGTTAATTGGGTGTTCTTTTTTACATTGCTTGATGAGGTAATTCTGTTTTTGATGTGAGTGATAGGTGTGGCTCTGATTATCTTGAACTTTCTGGCTATGCGTTAGATTTTTTCGCTAATATTCTGATATAAAGGAGATAAATAACTGTGACAGGAGTGTTCTTAATTTTTTGTCATTTTATTTTGTATATGTTTATTTCACTATAGTAATGTTATTTTATGGAGCTAGTCCGACAAATGTTGTCACATAAAAAGAAAATATTATAAAGATTATTTTATAATCTTATGTCATATTTACGGCATTGACGTAAAATGTTGGAAATCATTATATTCTAGTTTAGGGATTAGTAGTTACGATTCAAAAAGAATTTGATATCTTACATTTTGAAACTATAATAAACATTATATAATAATAAAATATTGTAGTAAATGAAAAAGGTCTCGAAATTTATATTAAATTTGAATAGAAGCTAATGATTATTTATATCCATAAACGGCGAAACCGTCCGGGTCTGTGGGCCCCAGCCCCGTTAATAATCTTCAAATACAGAGCAAACGGTCCTTAAAAGCCTAAACGTTTAAAACTGAAAACTAAATTTTTAGTTTATGAGGTTTTTATAACAAAAAATATTATTCGTTAAAATATTTTACAAAACATATAACTAAATACATAAAGCTGTTTGTTCAGTGAATCGGGCCCGGTCAATAATTTACATCTTCCGCATTCTATGTTTTTGTTTAAGTAAACTCGACGAACTGATCATCATATACGGTACCGGTATAAATATTAATATCAAGATTAATCGAAATTAATCAAGTCAACAATCAGTTTGTGAGTTGAACACTTAAACTGATAAACTGTTTATTTAAATTTTTGATCAGATGCATAGCTTAATTGCCAATTTAATAGATTATTGTTTATCATTACATAATTTGTCTGTCTTTAACAGGCCACTTAGATCCGCATGTTCTTTGCAAAAAATTGTCTTTTCTTAACTGTTTCCATACAGTAAGTTGTTTTGCTATGCTTAACATTAAAAAAATATCTTAAATTAAAAAGTCAGTTAATGTTCACCGCTGTGTGGCTACTGAGCATGAAGTACCTCTTCCACTAGACTATCTTAGTATTCCAGCTCTGTAGCTCATACTCTGCTTTTTACTATCTATAACTCTAGACTGGGTCTAGCTTTCTAGTTTGTATGCCGCTTGTTTCTATCTATAACTCTGGAGTGGGTCTAGCTCTGAAGCTCGTACCCTGCGTGTTTCTATCTATAACTCTGGAGTGGGTCTAGCTCTGTAGCTCGTACCCTGCGTGTTTCTATCTATAACTCTGGAGTGGGTCTAGCTCTGTAGCTCGTACCCTGCTTGTTTCTATCTATAACTCTGGAGTGGGTCTAGCTCTGTAGCTCGTACCCTGCGTGTTTCTATCTATAACTCTGGAGTGGGTCTAGCTCTGTAGCTCGTACCCAGCGCGTGTTTCTATCCAAAGCTTTGGCTTGGGTCTAGCTCTGTAGCTCGTACCCAGCGTGTTTCTATCCAAAGCTTTGGCTTGGGTGTACTGTATAAATTGTTTATTTCATACTTACCTAACTTTGATTCCAGCAGAAACATCAGGTTTCACTCTTTTCTTTTCATAAAAAAAGATGATACCACACAAAATGGCTACTTCTAGACAGATCCCTAGAAAAGGCCACAAAGCTGCCAGTTTGTCTGAAAGTAAAACAAGTGCATTGTTGAGCTAAATAATTATACAACCTTACTGCGAAAACCTTTATTGGAAAAATAAAAACAAAATCAAACAGTTTGAAGAATTTCAAAATAATTAATATTGCACATAAGTTCTAAAACCTACCTTTACATTTTATCTTTTCAATAAAATAAACTTGAAAGAAAACAAATGGCCAACAGTCCTACAAAGAATATAAACATCATAAATAATCTAGCTTATTTAATTATCCATTGAAAAATAATTTGTCACAGAGAACAGGCCAGAAAGACACAAATTTGACGAATAACAAGAAATTATGATATGTAGTTTTTTATTCTCAGAAGATCAACTGCTTAAAAATTCTGCCACAAATGTTTTGTATTTAATAAACTGTATAATCAAGAAATATGTCATAATAATGAGATTAATTGTAGTGATGTCTTAGGTGCCGTGCTGCCTTGGAAGTTTTCATTCGTCGTCAATTGCTAGTTCTTATGGCCAGGTTTACCTTGTAATAAGCTTGTACGAAGAACAACATGGTCAACCTTTAGGTATATATATATTGAAAAACTTTCAACAGATCCTGCACTGTACGTGTACAGTGGTTTCCATGACCACTTTTGATGAAACCAAACTCAAAAAAGATTGTTTGAGGATACATTAAAGGACCTGACAGATATGTAGTCGAATGGGATTGATGTGATTCCATTTCTTTAGTCCTCTCTCCCTTAGAAACAGTTGTTGATTTCGAGGAGTAGTTGGAAGTTTGTGAGTGATCATTCATCAACTTCAAGTCCTTGTTTACTATTTTGTTAATGGCACTAGCTGATCTGCATAGCGGTTTGGATCGAAGGGTTCTTTTCGTGATCATAACCTTCACTTTGCCAATGTTTCGGATTCACTTAAGGCGAAAGATAGAAGCAGGTTGTTGCCATAAACATTCCGCGTACAAGTTCTTCTTTTACGAATAATATTCAAGGGTCCCTGTTTAAATGCCGTACCCTTTAGCATTTAAAAACCTTGCTATATTGATATTCTTCTTCTGAAAGATTGGGACGTATTCCAGCCATAAGTTAGTCCGTGGTAGCATTTATCTGTTGAATAGTCGTAAATTTGCCGTATATAAAAAATAAAGTGCTAAACATAAAGTCTTTTGTGCCTCAACTCGCATCTGTGGATACACAAGCCACGTATTAGCATATACAAATTGTTCAAATAAAATGTGGTTGAATTTGTAAAAGATTCATGCGGCAATTTACAAAAGTCAGATTTATCAAAATTACATATTCGGCAATGTTGTAGAAAACATGAACAATTTGTTTTTTATTCCTGGTTCTCTCTCTTTTCTAATAGGTAAACAATATTTGTAAGTATTTACTGTGAAACATTTACAAAGCTTAGAAAAAATTATATTTAAGATATATCAGTTTTACTGTGATCGGCAAATATAGGGTTGGAATTTGAAATAAAGACCTAGAGATTTTTTATTTGTTCAATTTCGCACAAAGCTATCCTAGATAGACTAAAGGGAAGGCAGATAGTTAACATCATCCGCCAGCAATTCTTGGACTACTTTTGATCATCGAATAGTGGGAGTGACAATCACATTATAACGCTCTCATGGCTATAGGAGATGAATTTCCATCCCGTTACCCGCAGATTTTGATTTGAGCGTCTTAACCACCAAACTATGAAGAGCAAAGTTAAAGAAAGTGAATATTTAGTTTTAGTTAGTCTACCCTTAAAAGTCACGAATTTCTTAATCAAAGTTATCAAAAACAAGATACAAATTGAAATATTGAAGAAATAACAATTTGTCTATTTTGAATGTTTAATTAATGTTGTTAAATAAAAATAGTTACTTGACTGGAAAATCACAGTTAATATTTACTAAATACACAGCTAAATAGTTAGTGAACAAATAAATATTTATATTTGTTGATAAATTTATTAAAGAGGGTAGTTGTTATGAGACAAACGTATAACAATTTATTTCTCGTAAAAGTGTAACTAAAATGTTATTAAAAAAATAATAAAACAAGTTATCTGTGCCTGTTAATATCATAATTGCTTGTAAGGGAAACTATAGAAATACATTTATCTATTAAATACATACATAGAGAGTTTGGAACACATAAATAACATTTGAGTTTTATTAAACATAAAGATAAGATATTGATAAACAAACAAACTCCTTTTTTAAAAAATACCATGAATAAAACAACTTCTAATTCAAGTTATAATAGTACAGAGCAAGTTATATATATTAGTGTTAACTTAAATCAATAAATTATTAATCTTTATTGTATACATAGTTCAAGTGTTATCGAGCCACTTGATAAACTATCAAAAATATAGCCAAAGTCTTAACTATATTTAACATATACCTACCATTCCGAACGTGGTATACCTATCTTAAATATCTTTCAACAAGTACAAGTATCAGCTCAATATCCCAAAATGTATTAAATTAGTTTAATAAAATGGCCAGGTTTGATCTAATGATTAATGTAACAGGCTGTGGATCGGAAGTTTCGAGACGTTTGATACCGTTATAGTAATTAATCCAGCTATTCGGTTGAAGTAGCCGCATATTAGTCGACGGGTGCTCATGACTGGATTCCGTCTCTCTGGTCGACAGTTCTAAATTTAAATGGCTAAGCCTGATTTACTGTTCTCTGACCTGACCGTCCAATCCATGTGTCACATAGGGAACTGGATAATACATTAATATATATCTTAATTTTGTCCTCTCTGGTTTTCACAAAACTGGAATTAAACTATTGACTAAACCTGTTTAATTCTTCCTATTTAATGCGGCCGGCATGGCCAGGTGGTTAGGGTGCTCGACTCGCAATCTGTGGGTCGCGGGTTTGAATCCCTGTCACATCAAACATGCTCGCCCTTTCAGCCTTGGGGGCGTTATAATGTGACGGTTAATCCCACTATTCGTTGGCAAAAGAGTAGCTCAAGAGTTGGCGGTGTGTGGTGATGACTAACTTTCAAAATTTAAACTTGTATATGCTTCATTGAATTTATAACTTATAGTATTGTTCTTGTTCCTTTTAGAAATTTTTTCATGTTTAGGTTTGTTATATGTATTTCATTATTAATATTTTTCTTTTGTTAATTTGGAACTGCGTTTTTAAAGCCTTACTTGGTGCGAGTGCTGGGAAGAGATATATTATATTCTTCATATTTATTTCAACACTACTGCAAGCCTTATATACTAAAAAGGGTACCTAGAGAAAAGGAGGAAATATTCGACCAGGAGAACATCAGTGTGAAACAACAAAGATATAACATAAATGGCAAGAGAAAAAATGACCATAGGGAAATAGGAATATATATTATGATATCTATGCTACGGTAGTAGAAGTTATGGAAAGCCCGAAACCTCCAGGTTGGTAACAAAAAATAATCTTCATATTTTAAGTGATTTTTATATTTTAAGATCTGTGCAAGAACTCAGCTAACAGATGTTTTCGCATATAAAAGCTATCTTCATACAGTAACACTAGTATTGAGACTGTATCATCGCCAGGGTTATGTATGTTTGGAAACACTAGTATTGAGACTGAATAATCGCCAGGGTTATGTATGTTTGGAAACACTAGTATTGAGACTGAATCATCGCCAGGGTTATGTATGTTTGGGGACACTAGTATTGAGACTGAATCATCGCCAGGGTTATGTATGTTTGGGGACACTAGTATTGAGACTGAATCATCGCCAGAGTTACGTATGTTTGGAAACACTAGTATTGAGACTGAATCATCGCCAGGGTTATGTATGTTTGGGGACACTAGTAATGAGACTGAATCATCGCCAGAGTTATGTATGTTTGGGGACACTAGTATTGAGACTGAATCATCGCCAGGGTTATGTATGTTTGGGGACACTAGTAATGAGACTGAATCATCGCCAATATTATGTATGTTTGGAAACACTAGTATTGAGACTGAATCATCGCCAGAGTTATGTATGTTTAGGGACACTAGTATTGAAACTGAATCATCGCCAGGGTTATGTATGTTTGGGGAGTTGTTGATTATAAAGCATTACTGGAAAGTACACAGCAAGTGATAAGAAAGCACCTTTATCTGATTGAAGATTTTTGTCATCTAAATACAGTTAACTGTCCTTATAGATTTGTATCAGAATTCACACAATACTGCACAAACAAATTCATAAATTCCATAAAACAAAAAATATCCCAATATAAAAAAAGAGCTGTAATATATATAGTAAACAATTTAGAAATAAGTACCTTTGACCCGGACATATATGGTGCTCCTGACTCTGTTCACTTCATTGGAAGCTTCACAAGAATAATATGCTCGGTCATCAAATTCAACTTCTTGTATAGTCAATATGTCATTCAAGTGAATGTCACTGGACTCCAACATGATGCGAACATCTGAGCCATTGATTAGGACACCGTCTGGAACGGAGAGTACCATAATGAACATATGAAAAAAAAAAAAGAGTTTCCTATAGTGTGTTAACTACAATTTAACATTATTAAAAGCTGGTTGATATGAACGCTATTGTAAAATCAGCTTTCTCTATCTACTTGGGAAGTTTTCAAACCTCATTTTACCCCGACGCACGCTTACAATCTTTGTTACTATTTTAGACATGTAAACCTTATTGTGTAATTATCTTTATATTTTTCTACTGACAATTCTGTGGCACATAACTTACAAATATTCCTACTGAAATATGCGACCACAAGTAATATGCAAAACTGAAACAAAAACACTTTCTTATCTTAGAATGAAATGTATATTGATTTTAAAATACTTCAGTTATAACTCTTGTTTTCATTACCGGAGTTTGCTTCACCACTGAGAAAAAGTATTGAAATGAAAGTCCATGACTTTCTATGACAAAAATAGAAGTTCAAAATTACAAGTCCTTAGATATCTTGATATATTCAATTGATGTTTTGATGTTTGTTTGTTTAAACACAAAGTTACAAATGTACTATCTGCATTGTGTCGCCACGCGATTAACTTGATGTAGATCAGACTTAAAAAACCGATTCATTTCTTAACTTCCTTTTTTTATATACCCAAATTTACTACTTTTTTTTACATGTAGAACTCAAATATAAATAATATTTTAAATATCTTAAGAAATGCTTATTAACATTTGGATGTATTTATATTCAAATAGTTTTCAAATTTTCAAATATCAATTGATTGTTTTGTTTGTAAAATATATATACCTTAACAGAATCACAAGATTATTATCAACTATTCAAAACTGGAATACGTGTGTAGTATGCAGTTTTTTT